AAAAAAAAAAAAGACATAAAAATTCACATTACCTATTATAAAAATGTTTTGGTTAAATTAATCAGTATTGTGAGCTGACGACGGAGGTATAATTCAAGTCAACTATTAGTACGTGTTCAAGCCGAGAGCCAAGAACCATGAACCATACCTCCGTCAGCCCACTAAATTTATAATTAATTGCAATTTTTAAGATAAAAAAATACAGTAAATTTTGTTACAGAATCTAATTAAATATATTATATTATAAATAAAAGGCATGATATTTGGTACTATAAATAAATTGTTATTGTGTTATAAAATCTGTCTACGTGTAAGATAAATTAAGGAGGCATTCCTTGTGTAAATGAAAGAGATCGGATTTGATTGTGGTAACCATATGAATGAAGTCAATATTAATTAATTAATTCCATATATATATATATATATATGTATATATATATATATATAACCAAAATTAAAAATTTTCAGAATTTTTCATGCCAAAATAATTGACATCGATCTACGTGTATATTTAATTGCCAAAGGAATTGATTTTCCGTCCAAATAAATCCATTTTTAAAACCTTTGTGATTTTGTACCAAAAATTTGACTTTAAGATTCCCAAATAATAATAAGTTTATTTTTCTAGAGATATTATCTAAAAAATAATCAAACTTTTCTATATATATATGTTCATATGATTATATATATATAAAAGCATGTGACAAAGTTTTTAGTTACTTTTGACTAAACAATGTCACGCGATACAATATTAATAATCATTGGTGGTGGATGTTTGATGGCGGTCATGTTATTTATGGCTATTTGCATTTGTGAAGACCTAATCTGCCCACCAACAACAGATGAAGAGAGAGCCGATGTCGAGGGAGGCTGACGGACTGAGACTAGAAGTGACGGTGGCATGATGTTTATGTCGTCGGGAGTAATTTTTAGTTTTGTTTTTATTTAATAATAAGTTAATTTCTTATGCTATCTAATAAATATTTAATTTCTTATGCTATTCAGGAAGTGACCGGTCATGTTTGAGTGATCTAATAAATATTTAATTTCTCATGCTTTTGTTTTGATTAATGTTATCTATTCAACGTATAATTTGGAATGCTAGTTATTTGTTTATTTTTTTTATTTTTATTTTTTTAAAAAATTGTGCACACTTTCTTTATTATACTTAACATCTTATTATACTAATAAAAATGAAATAACAATTGGCAAAAAAAAAAAAAAATAATAA